TCAGGTTTTGGTTGTTGTGAACAGTGCTACAATAAATGTGGGAGTGTGCCTGTCTCTCGAACATTATTTCATATTGAGGTGCTTGGTATTGGGTATATGTATATTAATGGTTATTTTCTCTTGGCAAATTGGCTCCTTTATCTTTACAGTATGATCACCCTCATCTCTTTGCACTGCTTTTGTTTTAAGGTCTGTTCCTTTTTTTTTTTCCAAGTAAAACTTTATTAGTATTTGTATATTATTCCATTTTGATCTGATAGAATTCAAAACAGAAAATGTGCACACATTACTTGGGCTTCACCTAACGGAACAACAGGACAAGAGATCCACAGGCAGGAGGGAGCCAGGTGGCCCAGAGATGCAGGCCGAGGGCTCCCCAGGAAGCCATGGGACCTGGGTTACTTACAGTTTTTAGAGCTCAAAATGAGCTCCTGCTGCCGTCCATTCCCCATGGACACTGGCCACTGCGGGTCAGTCCAGGTCTGGGTGGGCTCCTAAGTGCTCGTCTTCTGTCTCCGTCTAAGCATGTTCCAAATGTGCTGCAGGGCCACTCTGCCCATGAAGAAGGTGATGGCCAAGTTACGTCTGTACCAGTCTCTGTTTAATATATGTGCTTCTGAAACTTTTACTTAGAAATTCCTTGTAAAAGTCGGCCATTTCCTCTGCATTCAGTGTTGCTTTCTGACCTGGTTCAGTTCTCGGGCCCAGGCCTTTGGCTCTGAGTCTGAGTGAATAAACTCCTCCTCCTCCTTAGAGAAAGTCAAGTTCTGAGCTGCCCAGAACTGTTGATTCCACTCTTGTGTTTCTTGTCTTAACTCCCAGAGCCTTCACTCCAGCGGCATCTCATTTTCTGGGATGTAGAAGTGAACAGGTCGAAGGTTTGAGTATTTATCCCAATCATGGCAAGAATTCCTTGGAGGGCAGAATCTTGAGGCCTGGCTCCAGGCTTCGGATCAGATCAGCTCAGCTCCGGCTGCTGTGGCCAACTGGGTAGTGAACCAGCAGATGGAAGACCTCTCTCTCTCTCACTGTCTGTAACTCTACCCCGCTTGGCACTGCTTCCCTGCACTCCGCACCGTGCTCTGGGGCCGGCAGCCCACCACCGCCCATGAAGGCCCGGCAGAGGGGTGGGATAAGGGTCCAAGGTGCCCACCGCACCTCTGCTGTGGGGCCACGCCCACCTTCCTGTTCCTTCTAATGTAGGGATGGCTACATCTGCCGCCTTTTGGATTCAGTTTGCATGGAAAATACCTTGTCCCATCCCTTCTCTTTCAGTCTAAATGTATGCTTATAGATGAAGTAAGTTTCATGTAAGCAGTGTATAGTTGGGCCTTGGTTTTCTTTGGGATGCATTTAGACATTGTATGTCTTAAATGAGAGTTTAATTTGTTTAAATTTAAGGTAATCCTTGAAGGTAAGTTCTTGCTGCGGTTTTGTTACTTTGTTGTGTAGTTTTTTTTCTCCTCTAACAGTCTACCTTTGTGGATAAGATTCTTCCTTTAGTCAAATGTTTTGATTTCTTGTTTATTTTCATTGTGTCTGTTACAGGTTTTGCTTTGCGGTTACCATGAGGGTTGCAAAAAAAAAAAAAAATTGGAGTGTAGTAAGCTATTTTGAAATTATAGCAACTTAAACTTATCACGAAGATAGGAAAAGAACCAAAAAGAGAAAAACTCAGCACTTGTGCTCCATTTTGATGCCTATTTAATATCTTTTTATATGGGCGTGTGCTTGCTCACTTGCTTTGTCTCTCTTGTACCTATTCACATTTGAAAAGTATATTGGTTTTTTTTTTTTTTAATTACTTGAGAGGCAGGGAGAGTGCGTGTTCACATCAGCTAGTTTACTCCCCAAATGCCCACAATGACTAGGACTGGGCCAGGCTGAAGCCAGAAATCAGGATCTCAATCCAGGTCTCTCACATGGGTAGCAGGGACCCAAATAATTAAGCAGTAACACCTGCATCCTTTGGTGTGCATTGGCAGGAAGCTGGAATTGGGAATGGAGCCAGGACTCAAATACAGACACCCCAAGCAGCGGTGCCAAATGGTAGCCTTACTGTGTTTATCTTTACATGTCAATATAGATGTTATTTAGAAAAATTTTAAGGATTCACCTCAAAGAGTCAAATGGTTTATGCACTGTCTTTATGGTATTAGCACCTACTGATTTTGGCTGTGTAGTTGCTTTCACCAGTGAGTTTTGTAGCTTCTGATTTTTTTTTTTTTTTTCAGTTTCAAGAATTCACCTTGGAGGACAAGTCCAGTGATGATAAAGGTTCTTGTTTTTTGTTGGGGATTGTCTATCTTTTTATATGATTTATTTTATATTTGAAAGGCAGAGTTGGAGGCAGATACACCTTCCATCTGCTGGTTCACTCCTCAAATGCCTGCAACAGCCAGGGCTGGGCCAAGCCGGAGCCAGGAGCTTCTCCCACAGGGGTGCAGGGGCCCAAGCACCTGGGCCATCCTCTGCTGCTTTCCCAGGTGCACTAGCAGGGAGCTGGGTCAGAAATACAGTGGTTGGGCCTGGAACTGACACCTATATGGGATGCTGGCGTCCCAGGTGGCAGCTTAACCTGTTATGCCACAATGCTGGCCCCTATCTATCATTTATAAATGATAGATTTGTTGTTTTATTTTCTTGGTTGGTAGGGTTTTATTGTTAGTTTTTTGTTTTTTAACCTTCAGCACTGTGAATATCTAATCCCAGTTGCTTCTGGCCTAGAAGCTGTAGTTAAGTGGATTGGAACACTTGAATGTGTGGTTTCTTTTGTTGCTTTGAGGATCTTTTCTTTGTCTTTAGCCTTTGAGAGCTTGGTGATGACATGTCTTAGTGTAGATGTGGTTGAGTTGAGTCTGACTTGTGACCTTTGACTTTCCCATGTCTGGATATGTTTATCTTCCTCCAAGTTTGGGAGGTTTTCTGTACTGTTTGTATTTTTATTTAAAAGATATATATATATATATATATTTATTTATTTGAAAGGCAGAGTGACTGAGAGAGACAGGAAGAGACAGAGTGAGAGATCTTCCATCCACTGGTTGGCTCCCCAACAGACAGGGCTATGCCACGCCAAAACCAGGAAGCGGGGGGGATTTCATCTGAGTCTCTGGTGTGGGTAGCAGGAACTCAAGTGCTTGGACCATCATTTGCCATCTCCCAAGGTGTGCATTGGCAGGGAGCTGGATCAGAAAGACAGTGGCATGGCAGGGAACCAGGCACTCCTGTAAGGGGTGTGGACATCTCAAGGGACAGTGAATTAAGCTGCCACACACCGCCAGCCCCTGTTGTGTGCCCTCCACATAAGCTTTCTCCTGTTACGTGAGGTTATGCTTCCCTGAAAACTCTTGATGCTGTGTGGTGTGTGGTGATGCTGCCCATTGAAGGAGCAGGTCTGTGTCCCAGACTTCATAATCCGGCTTAGGACAGCCCTAGACTATTAAAGCAGGCTGCTCATGTCACTGCCACTGTTTGAGCACTGGCACCCTCTGGCTGGCTTGGCCATGAGGCCATGGTTGGTGTGTTGTTCTCTTTCAGTGCTAGAGGGGACCTCAAGCCCAAGTTGGACTCTGATCTGCAGTCAGTAGATTCAGGATGGCCTGGGCAGTCCCTGAAAGGGGTAGCCCTTCTCTCTCTCTCTCTGCAAACATCCACCCGGGGCTGGGGCAGCCCCAGGGTCTCATCTACCATCGCTGGCCTGCGGTCGGGGCTGCAAGATGCTCTCTGGTGCGGAGCGAGGTCCCTGAGCGACGGCTTCTACCTGCTTCCTCGTCTCCCCCAGTCAAGTGTGCTTGTGCTGCCTGAGGCTGCCGGAGGGGTGGCCAGTGCTAGGGAGTGATTCCTTCCTGCCTTTTTGGGTGTGTCTTTTCTTACCAGTATGCTAAAATGTGGCACTGTGACCCCTCTCCCGGTTTCCACAGAGCTGGTGAAGGCAGCTTTGTGCTTGGATAGCTGTTCAGACTGAGGCTGTTGTGCAAGACGGCCCCTGGAAGGTCTTCCTCCTCTTGCTGTCTTGCTCCGCCTTCTGAACCCTCTGCAAAGTTACCCAGCCCCAGACGTTTTGTCCTGATGCCGAGAATGACCTATTACAGGGCCCCTGCGGCTGTGACAGCTTTGCGGGAGAGGTGGGCAGGCGCATCCTCAGACAAAAAGCCCGAGTGGTGTTCTGCATTGGAATTCAGGCTGGAGACTGAGGGAGGTCTTGGTGGCCAACTCTGAAAAGGGAAATTGGAAAGAGCACTGGGAGAAGACGTTCCAGAACCTTCTCAGGGAACCACCAAGGGAATCCTCAAGGGGACTTTCATCCCCTCTGAACACAGGCCCTTAACCAAGGCCACCTGCCCTCACTGGGGACGGCTGGGAGGAAGGGGATTAATTCCTGTTTCCCTTCCCCGAGTTGAGGACGGAAGCTGAAATCCAAAGGGTTCTTGGTCCCCATTCACAGTGTGCAGCATGGAGGCTGGCAAGACTTTGGAGAATCAGCTGTGATGGGTGAACACAGCCTTTCCTGTTTAAAACCAAGTGGCACCGGCGCTGCGGCTCACTAGGCTAATTCTCTGCCTGTGGTGCCGGCACACCGGGTTCTAGTCCTGGTCGGGGCGCCGGATTCTGTCCTGGTCGCTCCTCTTCCAGTCCAGCTCTCTGCTGTGGCCCAGGAAGGCAGTGGAGGATAGCCCAAGTGCTTGGGCCCTGCACCCGCATGGGAGACCAGGAGGAAGCACCTAGCTCCTGGCTTCGGATGGCACAGTGTGCCGGCCGTAGTGGCCACTTGGGAGGTGAACCAACGGATAGGAAGACCTTTCTGTCTCTCACTGTCTAACTCTGCCTATAAAAAAAAAATAATAATAAATTTTTAAAAAAGTGGCTTTCCCAGAATCAAGGCCCACTTAGAGAATGCCCCGGGAGCTGGGCAGTATATAGTCCCTGCAGAGTGAGCAGGAGCTAGCCAGTCAGTGAAAGGCCCCTCTCTTCCCGGAAACAGAGACTCCAGCCAGGGCCAAGAGGTGAAGGTCTTGTTTATTGTTGCAGCAACTCTTATACAGACATCAGCGTTCAATTAAATAAAGGAAGATAGCACATGGATTACATCACAACCCCAAAGCAGACGACCGGGGCCACGGTATGCAGAAGGGGCGGGCGGGCCGGGACCAGCGACCAGACTGTCAGGGGAGATACATTCAGTGGGTGCGCAGTGTCAACATTCCAGGCTCATGGGTAGATATATTTTATTTATATATTTTATTTATATTTATATATAGAGATCATTGAGTTTTGTGTATACAAAGAACAATATTGTTACAAATACAATACTATACTTCTCCCGATGCTTTGCGACAAGCTCTATTGCGCCCCCTTTCCAGGACAATGGTACAAGTTCAGACGCTAGGTGCTGTGGTAGGTATGTACAAGGAATGTCACTCCCACACGGTCCTCACACACTGCCTCGGAGGAGGAAGGAGAAATAAGATGCGAGTCACGGGTGCACGTGGACCCCAGCCAGGGAAGGAGCAGACAGACGTGACACTCCAGCCGGCGAGTGGCCCTGGGAGCGTGAGTGTGAAGACGTCCAAGAAGAGGTGGCCCTTGGTTGTAAACATTGCTACACCAGCGGCTCGGGAGACCCGACAAGAGCGCTGTGGATGGGTTTAGCTCCAGCTGCATCGGGGGTGCCGGGTGCGGCTGGGGCTGTGGGGCAGGAGCAGCGATGGGGGAGGTAGTAGGTTACTTTGGGGCTCCCTGAACGCCGGTGTTGATGGGCAATGGTCGGAAAGCAAACCTGTGTGCGGCGACGCGGTGCCCCTGGGATGGGCTCCACCCCCAGTGAGGCCCAAGGGTGTCGCTGGCGACGTGGGCTCCGGGCATTGGTTTCTGGGCGATCCTTCTTCTTGTGGACCCAAGGCTGATGGTGGCTCCCTGAATGCTCCCCAGGAGGGAAGGCAGAGGCAGGGTGAGGGGAAGGTGCTCTCCACGTGGGCTTCCCTGTGAGCCAGGGTAGGGACATATTTACATATATAACTATGTGTATTGGGAGGGGACAGGGCAGAGAGACTGCCACTTCTCGTGGGACTTTGGGAATGGAGTGACTGCCGTTTAAGCGTCAGGCTCGTCCTCAGTCAAGCACTGGAGCCAGCTGCCTGCCTCCCACACGAGCAGGGGAGGAGGGAGAGCGTGAGCCTGCGCCCAGCTCCAGCTGCCACATGCTCCGGGGAGGCGGGGCCTGAGGAGCCCCTTATCAACACAAACCTTCCGCGCAAACGCTAGTCCTCCTGCAGAGCTACGCCGCTGGCGCTCTCTGCACCTCTCAGTCACCAGGACTTCTGTGTAACAGGAATAGAAGTTATTTTCTCTCCTCTCTGTGAGGTGAAATACTTCAGTTATTAGGGGGTTGTAGAGGGTCGTGCTGGCCAGCTCCTGTCCCCTGACCAATGGTGGGCGGGCCTCGCGACTCCATGCAAGTCTTGGCTGCTGGAGCGCACAGGGCTCCTGATGCTTGCGGCACCCCGCCCCGCCACCTCCCTTCCTTTCTGCCCACTGCCCCTCGCTGGCCGGTGGCGGCGGGGTAGGGGGGTGGCTGACCTGATGGCTCTTTAGTAGCTAACATTACCAGACACCCTGCTGTTTCCTGATTCCACCAGAGGCAAACTGAGACCTGGCTCTGCTTCGGGCTGTCTCCCTGCAGCTTCAGGGGCCTGGGTCACCCCACTCCTGGCTCCCCTGGCTCCAACCAGCAGGGCTTCCTGGAGGCACGGCAGCCCCTTCCCACACAGGACATCAGGGCAGCGTTGGCATGGAGCTACTCATTCCTCTGCAGCGCTGGGCTTCCCTGATCCTACACAAGAATCTCTGAAGGCAGCCTGACCCAGGACAAGCCACAGAGCCCTGTCCTGCCGAATCTTGCTAATTCCCGTCTTCCCTCCCTGAAAAGCCTCTGTTCCCTTTATAAATGCTTCCTACCCCACGGATGCTTACTGGATTCCTGTTTCTACAGACACAATGTACAAACCCTGGGCGCAGAGAACAGGGACTCTGGTAATACTACAAAATATACTCCTTTCTCTTCCCCTGTCTCCACTGAGGTCAGGAATGAAACAAAAACAAAACTGAAGCACACAGCCCACAGGACCACAGAATGCTCTTTGGACCGGGAAAAAGCGAGAACTGGCTCTGAATACGAGGAGGACTAAAAGCCCTGCACAATGTGAGTGGAAGCCAGCAACGATACACGGATTCCACGGCAGCCAGGCGATGCTTCTGGGACACATTTGGGGATTCTGAGGCATAGCCTGAGGTCACCACTGTGCCCTTAATTTTGTGGCGCATGTACTGTTCTGGTCTTTCAGCGCTCACATCTCGCCTAGTGGTCCGGAACACAGCAGCAGCTTGCTCCTGCCAAGGACCAGGATCTCTTCTTCCAAGGGACCCACTCCTCCTCCTCAGACTTCCTGGGTTGTGTGGGTGTGTCGGGGGTGACAAGGGGAGGCCAGCAGGAGGACACTCTGAGCAACAGAAAGGCCCCCCCCCAAGAGACCCTGCTGGTCGGGGGTGGGGGGAGGAGTGGGGAGGGCGCTCAGCAAGGGAGGGCTACCTGTGTAGAGGGGACCAGGCAGATCCTACCTGCCCATGTTTATCCAATGGCTGACCATCTCCTGGCAACCTGGCAAAGCTTGGGACGTCCCACAAATGGCCCCACTCTCTTCCACACCCTGGTGGCCTCGTCCAAGGCTGCAATTTCTCCTCTCATCTTTGGGTGGGATGGGCCAGATTAGAAAAGACATAATAGCGAAAGGAGGGGTTTGCGATTGGCTCAAATATCCTGGGTGGAAATAACACTGGGGTGCACCCGTAGGTGGCAGCCAGTGCGTGACATCAGGGGTGTGGGCTGCCCCCTCCCTGAACCCCCTTAGGGCCGCATCCCATAAACGGATGGCAGCCAAGCTGAGATCAGCGATGGGGTCTTAGGCACTGCTGGCTCAGCCTCCTCCTCACTGTCCCCAGGGAGGATGGGTCCCTCTTGGGCAGTGACGGCCACCTCAGGAACCCCGGATGTCTTCAGGTGGACCCCAGGTGGACGCTCGCTGTTCTCTGTCCTCACGGGAGCACAAAGGGAAGTTCCCTGGGATTAAAAGAAAATGCAGACTGGAGAGAGGGAGAGAGCGCGCCCAGAGGTCCTGGCGGGGTCTCCTCTCGCTGTGGAAGACCGAATGCCCGGCGTGGGAGGGGAAGTCTCAGCGGACACACGGATGTGGCACAAGAAACACAACCACGGTGAGGACAGTCTTCCATGCAGGCCGCCGCGGAGGCGGGCGCGCGCTCAGATGTAGACCGGCTGCTCCTGGGCCGTCAGCAGCCTGTACATGGCGGCCGGCATCGTCTTCATGTGGATCTGGGGACACAGAGCACGCGTTAGTGGAGCTGCGGCCAGGGGCGGTGCCCGTCCTCACAAGGGATCTGCAATGCCCCACTCTCCCCACCGGGGACCTGTCCCCGCGTGGCCTCCAGGAGGATTGGACTCCGGCTTTCTCAGCAGTCCAGGGTTGCTGGGAAATGAACGAGGAGCACCTGCCGAGGCGCCCCGCCCCCGCCCCGCGTGCTCGTGCTCGCCAGGAACCACTAAAGGAGGGAGAAGGGCTGCGCCGTTCCAGCTCTCGCCTCCCTTTCCGCTGCGGGCAGGCAGAGCAAGGCCAGCCCTGGGCCCTGGACAGTGAGCCCGCTCCCCGTGCAGGGCCCCTCTTTCGAGAACACGTTAGGGTGACTGGCTGGGCAAAGTGGAGACCCCCTGGGCAGCCCCCGAGCAAAGCAATGCACGTCTGAATGTTGACGGCAGGTGACACCGCCAGAGAAGGTGGAGGCAGGAGCAGCTCGGATGACCGCTGACCAGGGGGACTGACATTTAGCCGAACGGGGAATTGTGGGTGTCGGGAATGGTTCACGGTGGGACAGGACTGGGAAAGGTTTTATGGGTTCTGAGCGATTTTTACCCCCCAGCCCTACCTCGCCGACAGCACTGGAGAGGACGTGGACGATCTTCTCGTGGGGGGTGGCCACGACGCTCTGTCCGTTGATCTCAATGATCCGATGTCCCACACGGACGCCCCCACGCTCAGCTATTCCCCCTCGCATGAGGCTGCAGATCTGCGGAGGCCAAAGGCCCAGTCACACCTCAGGCAACAATGGGGGGAGGGGAGCCCCCGACCCCTGCCCGCTCTGGCTCTGCACACTTGAGTCTCGTAATTTCTCTTCACGGGAAGGAGCCTCTGTGGTTGCACAGGGCCCCCTCATGCACGTGGTGCAAAGAATGTGGCACACCCCAGGGTTCCGCGCACATTGTGCTCTGACAGCTGTGGGTCCCCACGGGGCCTGTCCTCGAGTTTTGCCACCTGCCAGCCTGTGTCATGCAGGTTAGCATCGCTTCCCACGGTCACAGCGGGGCTCCCACAGGGAGCTCCTGAGTGCCAGTAGCCTGTTTCTCAGGGTTGTGGTTGAATGAGACAACATGGGGCAGGAACCCCACTCTGTATTCCCTAGTGGGGCTAGCTGGTGGCAGAGGCCCATTGAGGCCCTGCTGATCCAGGGAGGGTTTTTTTTTTTTTTTCGCAAGGGTGCAGGTGCCCCCAGGCCCTGCAGTGGGCAGCAGCTACAGGGGCACCCCCAGCTTATGCACAAGGCGACCTGAGTTCTCCCAGAAGAGAGGGAATTCCTGAGTTGACTTTGCATTCCAGGCTGCATGTTGATTTAAAAGCCGAGGCAGACGAGACTGCCAGAGCCATCCTGTAGCAAACGTGTGTTGGGTGCCTGCAGTATGTGGGCCGTCAGTGCCCCAGAGCACGTCAAATAAAATGCAGGACCCCGGTGTAGCATGCATGTTACATAACAGCTCTGTTAATACCTGAACAACCAGCAACATTATTCAGATATGAACACAGCAAACAAGTAAGTGTACGCAGATGAAAAAATGGCATCAGATGACAACTCTAAGGAGCACTCCTAGCTCCTCTTCTAACGGGCAGAGCAGGGTTCTCAGAGGCAAAGAACAAAGGGAATTGGGCTGGATATTTAACCGCTCCAGTAGGTACCTCTTAACCTTAAACTAACTTGAAATAAAATTTTAATCACCTAAGACTGTTATTTGGAAAGAAAAATATTTGAGAGGCAGCAAGAGCATGCTCCCATAAGTTGAATCACTTCCCAAAGGCCCTCAATGCCAGAGGCAGGAACTGGGAGCTCAATCCATGTCCCCACATTGGGAGGCAGGAAGCCAGTCACTTGAGCCATCACCTGCCACCTCCCAGGGTCTGCACTGGCAGGAAGCTGGAATTGGGAACTAGAGCTCAGAATCGCACCCAGGTGCTCTGATATGGGACCGCAGGCATTGTGACCAGTGTCGTAACTGCTAGAACAAATGCTTGCCTCACCTGGGATTCTAAATTGGAAGTTAAGGAAACAGAATAGAGGTCTTCAGTCTGGAAGGATGGACGCTGAGAAGGAGGGAGTGCCCAACACCCACAGATGGAAGTTTACAGACAAAACAGAAAGGAGGAAACAGAAGGAGGAAAGCCGGGATGAGAGAGGGGCTCTGAGTACCACGTTTCTGTCTGGGATGAGGAAAGGCAGACAGTGGGGGTGGCGGCACACACACACACACATTCACCCTGGGTGAATTTCATGCCACTGGATTGTGCACTCAAAAATGGCCAGGGGCCGGTGTTGTTGAGGTAGCAATTAAAGCTGCTTCCTGTGGTGCAGTTCAGGTCTCGGCTGTTCCTCTTCTGATCCAGCTCTCTGCTATGGCCTGGGAAAGAAGTGGATGATGGCCCAAGTGCTTGGGCCCCTGCACCTGCGTGGGAGGCCGAGCTCTGGCCATTGCAGCCATTTAGGGAGTGAACCAGCAGATGGAAGATCTGTCTCTCCCTCTCTCTGCCTGTAACTGTACCTCTCAAATAAGTAAAAAAAGGCTCAAACTGGAAATGTTAGGTTATGTCTGTTTTGCATTTTTTAAAATAGACAAATTGTTTCAACTAAGCCAAGTGATAAAAATACCTCCCTTTACTCCCAAAGTGCTGCTGGAGGTTACAAAGGTGCCTCGGCCATGGCACAGCTAAGCATTACCTGGGGAGCTCTATGGCACTTCCCCCTGCCACCAGGCTTGGGAGCTGTGGCAGCTCTGCAGGGCTTCAAGTGCAGCCAGGGGCAGAAGGACCCTGTCCATCCCTACTCTCTGCAGTTGGCAGCCGGGAGGCCAGCCCCGGCCCTGAGACCCTGGGTTTGGAAGCCCGGGCTCTGAGGCAGAGCCCCTCTATCCTGGAGGGAGAAGCCCAGGTTGGCCTTGGTTCCCAGGTCCCCTTCCTCCCCTGAGTCTCCCAAGGCCACGCTACCTTTACTCGGCCACTGTTCTGGGAGAGGTGGCGGGGTGACACTTACGATTCCATTCTGCACGCTGAAACCCAGTTGGTAGCGGAGGTCTGGTCTGCGGATTAACACAGTGGTCACTGGCGGACATCGCACGATATTCAGCTTCACTCGGGACTGGTTCTTTAAGCCCTTCAACGTGAATGAGGTACAGCGGCTAGGGTCACCGCCACTGGAGTGACCAGCACCGAAGGCAGAGAGACGTCCACGTGAGCCCTCCTCCCCCTCCGTGGGGTGCCCAGCTGCTCCGGCTCCCTGCTGGGCTTTTCAGTCCCAGAGGCGGAAGCCACAGGGTTGAGGTGGGGGCCGCTCACCCTGCATAGGTGTGTTTCCAGAGGGTGCTGGCTTTGTTTTGGGCAAGGTCCTGACTTGCCAGGTATCTGACAGTAGTGGTCCCTGGGCAACGAGGAGGACAACTCTGCCACTTGGCTTCGGGTGTGTAGAGTTCACATGCGCTCTCATAGTGGCGACAGATCAGGGGGCCAAGGGATGTGTCTCTGAAAGGCCAACTCCTAACCAAGCTTGTCTGGGGCAGGGCGAGGTTCGATTCCCAGGGCTACTTTTCTCCTGTCCCAACACCACACTTCCCCATTGTCAGTGTTTACACAGCTCATGTATGCACCTTCCTGGGAGAGCAGTGGGGGCTACAGGATGGGTGCTGTTGCCCAGGGAAGAAGAAAGGTGACTGGCAGGTGGTATATGGTTCTGTGGTCCTTGGTAACATCAGAACTGAGCTAGAGGGGAAGCTGGTGTCGTGGACAGAGAGGCCGGGGTGGGGGTGGCACTGGCACTGTGGCCCAGCTCCCTGTGCCACCACCTGTGATGCACACCTCCTACAGGAGCAGGGGTTTGAGTCTTAGCTGCCTCTGGATCCAGCTCCTGCTAGTGTGCCTGGGCAAACAGCAGAGGATGGACCCAGTGCTTGGGCCTCTGCACCTGGGCGACCCAGAAGAAGCTCCTGGCTCCTGCCTTTAGCTTGGTCACTGCAGCCACTTGGGGAGTGAACCAGGGGATGGAAGACCTCCCTCCTTCATTCCTTGTGGCTGGCAGCCCTGATGCCCCTGGTTGGTTTCTAGAACCCATGCAGAGCAGATCATGGCATTTGAATGGGATGCACCTGTCCAACTGGATGCTTTATGTAGCAAGGCTGGCTGATGGAGAAACTGTGCAAGTCCCCCTCCTCCAAAAGGGAAGGGGAAAGGGGAGAAGCTGTTCCTAAAAGCTGGCACTATGCAGGTGGGCAGGCAACCTGTGTTCAGCAGAGAGTTGGGGGGGGCAGGGAGGTGGTGAGCTCTGGGCTGTCCATGTCTGTGGCATCCCTAGAGACGGCAGGCAGGGCAGGTGGAAAGCAGGGCCCAGGGAAGGCATGCGTGAGGGGGGCCAGTTTGCTCGATATTTTATAAATAGAAACGTGCGAGTTCTACAGTCGCTGTGGACCGCCGCTCCTTGTCGCTCCTTTTCTAGCCTGCAAAGCCTTTTTCTGGGGCAGGTCAGGACTGACGCTTCATGTGTGACAGATGTGTACATGACACCTGCCTTGTCCAGGGGCTCTTGTTGGGGCTAGGATTGTGGGTCCCCTGCTTAGGCCTCTACCTCCCTCAGCAGTGTGACCCAGGGTCTGTGCAAATGGGACTGGCAGCAGCAGTCGAACTGACTTTGTTCAGGGGCACAAGTGCCCCATAGCCCTTCTAAGTAACAAGGATCTGCTTTAGACTGAGGGATAGGTAGGGGCTGTGTTTCCTCTGGCTTTACTAGAATATGCCAGTGGTTGTCACCGGGAGGTCCCCACAACAGCAGCACCTGACCCCTCATTAGAAATGCATGTTGTGGGCCGGCGCCGTGGCTCACTAGGCTAATCCTCTGCCTTGCAGCGCTGGCACACCGGGTTCTAGTCCCGGTCGGGGCGCTAGATTCTGTCCCGGTTGCCCCTTTTCCAGGCCAGCTCTCTGCTGTGGCCCAGGAGTGCAGTGGAGGATGGCCCAAGTCCTTGGGCCCTGCACCCCATGGGAGACCAGGAGAAGCACCTGGCTCCTGCCATCGGATCAGCGCGGTGCACCAGCCGCAGCGCGCCGGCCACAGTGGCCATTGGAGGGTGAACCAATGGCAAAAGGAAGACCTTTCTGTCTCTCTCACTGTCCACTCTGCCTGTCAAAAAAAAAAAAAATGCATGTTGTGGGATCTGCCCTAGACTGCTGGAATGACAGAATGCACCAGGCGGACCAGACAATTTGCACTAAGGAGCCTTCCAGGTGCTCCTGATGCACCCTCAGTTTTGAGAAGTGGTGGAGATGGCATTGCAGAAGGCACAATGCAATTTTTTTCCAAGGGCTGATCAGGCCCAAAGATGTCGAAGACCACTCACACCTATGGCCTGTGCTCCATGACAGCAGGCGCTAGCAATGCTGGGGTGGGTCTGCTGGCTGGTGGACAGCTGGTGGGACCAGGGGCTCCACAGCTTGATCCCTGCACAGCCACCCCCTGGTCTGAGCACCCTTACCATCACTGTCACATCAGAGCCATCTAATGAAACCAGCAGGAGCACGGTAATAACTGCCTGTCATTGAGCACTGACCAGGAGCTGGCTCATTTAATCTCCCTGAAAAAATGGCAGCTGTAATGATCCCCATTTAAAGAAGAGGAAACTGAGGCACAGAGCTATCAATCGACTCTGAGGGTCACGTTCAGCCATGATCAATCCCATCTCTCTTGGTTTTCAGAACCCACTGCATTTTCTCCTAATCAGCCCCTAAATACACGAGAGGACTTGAAAAAGTTGACAGAAAATGTGTATTACTTTAAAGAAAACTGTGCATGGATTGCAGTTTTGTTTTGCCCCCAAATATTTAAGTTTCATTTTTCTGTTAGCCTTCTGAAGCACCCCCATCTCTGTCCCCACTGCGAATGTGTCCTTTTTCTCCTGTACTTAACTCTTACTGCTCTGTTGCTATGTACCAAGAGATGTGTTAGCTATGGGGCTGGGTGGAGTGAGCCCTGTCCTGGAGCTCGGGGGTCTGGATGGTGGAGACTGCAGGCACACAGCAGCCAGCGGGGGCTGCAGTTCCTTCTCGTCTCTCCTTCTCTGCCATCACGGAGAGACCAGAAACTTGTGGCAAACGAGAGCTACAAACGCTGAAGATAGGAGCCACTAGTTAGGGTGACAACTCTTCAGACCAAGCTACCTGCCTGGAAAGTTCACATCCATGAACCACTGGGAGCCTTCAGGTATGCACGTGTGATACACAAAACCTCACAGAACACACTGCAAAGAGAACTGCCCTGAGTTCTCAGTGGTAGCTAGAGCCATCAGACTTCGCAGGTGGGCTCTTTTAGGTGACCTGATTTGAGAGGCCTCATCAGCGAGAGAATCTCAAGACTGCGGAAAGTGACCGCAAGGCACGGAGAGACGGCACTAGAACAGGCAGGCTGGGTGCTGGCTCTGCATTCCCGATCAGTGTTTCAGGCTGGCTCCTGTTAACTTGGGTTTCTGAGCTGTCATAGGATTGGAGGTGCCAATTAAATAAATGGTCATTCCATCCCCATGGTGACAGTGGATTGGTGCAGCAAATGAAGCAAACAGGGTGGGAAGGGAGAGGCAGGGCAGGGGGAGAAAGAAGCCAGAATGGTCTCCATAGCAACAGGGCTGCAGCCCGGAGAGAGGATCTGAGGAAGGAGAGGGAAGCAGCGCTCTAGTTTGAGAGAGGACCGAGATGCAGAGGGCAGGACCGTGGAGGCGGTGGCTGAGCAGAGCAGGCTCTACCAGGCGGCACCTGCAGCAGTAATGCTCCGGGAATGAGTTACCACAGGGAAAATACGTGCTAGGGAAAGGCCGTCAGGACATTTTGCTACCTGTAACTCTAGAAATAGACTCTGTTTCCTGCAAGCTGCGGGTGAGGGTGGGAAGGTCAACATGCATTCCAGTGGCAAGCAGCAGCACCCACTGCTTTGGACAACCTTGTGCCTTGAACCGCGGCCTGCAGGCAGGCGATGTCACAAGCCCTGGGAGCCCACTGAGCATGCCTGCACCACCCAGACCTAGGGAATCTGCACCTGCCTGTGTGCCCAGGTGACTCCCAGAGGTTGGAGATACTGACTCATTAGGAAGAGCAGCGCTGGCTCAAGTCCCCGCCAAGAGCCTGTCCCACGCAGAACAGGCGGACTTGACAGAGCCCCTCATGTGCCCAGCAGGCCCAAGGGGGTGAGGCCAGCACCGAGCCCCTGGCCAGGTGCACGCAGAGAGGGCTGTGGTGCTTAGAGGACTTGAACACAGCAGTAGCCATCTGAAAGGCGGCCCTGGATACACGCAATTCCAGCGGTTGTCAGCAGGGCGGCCCACGCCGGGGCTGTACTGGGCACTGAGAAGTTCAGCTGTGTTCTCACTGGGGTCTGCTCCGCCAAGGTCCCTTGGCCGAGGGTGGCCAGGGACGTGCTGATTTTCTCACTCTCCCTCTTCATCGGTCTGTGCCTTTTTCATCACCACATGGCTTTGCACTACTTTGGATGCCATGGAGGGGAACCTTTGTTCCTGCCAAGGGCCATTTGGATATTTATAGCGTCACTCGTGGGCCACACAAGATCATCAGCTATAGATGTATTGGGTTTCGATTCCCCCTAAATCTGCCTTGGCAGGGCCAGACCAAATGACTTCACAGGCCTTATATGGCTCGCAGGCTGGAAGTTCCCCTCCCGGTTTGCCTCGGGAGCCTGCCTGGCTCTGTGGGGCCTCTGGGCAGGCACGGGTCTCGCAGCCTTGCTCCTCTGGTCTGTGTGTCGCTTCCTTCGCTGAGTTGCAGGGAGGAGTGGAGTGGAGGATGGGACTGACTTGCCAATTGTGGGCCCTAGCAAGCCCTGTGTGCCTCTGGACTCTGGGGTGAGGTGTCTGTGCCTGGCATTGGTTGCCCTCCTTGTGGACTGTTGGGGGGGGCAAGGGGCGTGGCTTGCTGTCCCTCCTCTACTCAAGTCATCCCCTTCTCTTCGCTGCGGCCACCCTGACAAAGTTGCACAGACTCAATGGCTTGCAAACGACACAAACCTGTTTCTCATGGCTGTGGAAGCCAAGTCTGGGCTGTGGACAGAGGATTTCTTGCTGTGGCCTTACTTAGTGGACAGATGGCCAGAAAGCTCTCTGGGGTCCTTCCTGTAGGGACCCTAATCTCATTAATGAGGGTCCTTCCTCCATGACTTCCCCACTGTTTAACACTCCCCTCCAAACCCCCCTCCCACATACTGCTGCCGCAAGATTCAATTTCAATATACGAGTTACAGGGGTGAGCACTCCACTGTGCCCCTCTCCCCAAACCTTCCCAGATTCAGAGAAACCCCACTGAGCTCCTTTGCTCCCTGATTGCTTGCCTGCCTCTGATTTCCTCCTGCACACACCATGAAGCCGGGGTTTACAACTTCCAAGCTACAGCTGTCTGGGGCTGGATATACTTCTTGGCTGCAGGGGCTCGTTTCTATGCTGGGCACGGCAGGGTGTTGGGCAGCAGCCTTACCTCTACCTATGAGATGCCAGTAGCACCTCCTCCTGCAGGGCGCTACCTCACGCAGTGCCCACCTGCTCTGCAAGATCACCCCCAGCTGAGGATGGTCTCCCCAGCCACCCCAGGGCCGGGCCTCGGATCCAGGGGAGCAGACGCCCTCCCTGGGATGACTCCAGATTAGAGGCAGAACATCCCGGGAGCTGAGTGACCTGGCTCTACCAATGGCCAGCTATGCAATCATCTTTCTGTGCCTCAGTTTCCCAACATCTATAGTGGGCATAACCGCTCTGCAGAAGGCTGCCTTGAGTGCTCAGTAAGCTAATCTGGGTGCGTTTGCAGAGTGGGGTCTGGCACATGGCTGTCGGTCATCATGGCCGTTGGTCCCCTCACGTCCTCCTGCCAGACCAAGCTCCTGGGACAAGGCTCCTATGTGCTGTGCCGCTGGGCCCTCAGCCCCTTGGGTGATTTCTGCATACACATGGCTGTGTTTAATAAGCAACTCACTTATGTGAGAGAGACACCCAGTATGGACCACTCCTGCCACTCTTTGCCTCCCCGTGCTGCCATGGAGACATGAGGCCCTCCCTCTCAGACCAGGCTGAACCCTACCTCCACCCTGGACTCGATGCCACTCTGCTATCCTTTCTGCCCCCACGTCAGCTTGCACATCATGACACAACATTTCCCTGTCGAAAGGCTCCCGGCTTTTCGCCTCCGTGTTGCTGGGGCCCACTGAACCCTTCAGTGACGTAATTATCCTCCACATGCACGCGTCATTCTTCCCAGCTCTCTGGATCTCCATGTTCTAATCTTATTACATAGTCCGGTGCCAGGCAGCAACACTGGGTCCGTGATGGACAGCATGTAGAAGGGGGCGTCCTGTGAAATTATAGTGAGCTGCAAAGTCCCGCAGTGCGTTCCTCGCGTGTTTATGGTGATGTCAGTGTAAAACAAATATCAAACGCACTGCCAGTTGTTACACTTACAGTACATAATGCTTGATAATAAATGACTGTTACTGGTTATATATTGACTATACTTTTATCTTTAAAGTATCCTCTTACTTAGAACAAAAGGCTGACTGTGTTTACTTATTAAAGGTGGAAACAGTTCACCACGTCACACCAGCAGGAGACCTGTGCATTTTGTCTTCCCCGCATCTCCTGCCTGCCCCAGGAGGCCACGCTGAGCCACTGACTTAGACCATGCGGGTTTGCCCGAGTGCAGTCAGTGCTGCTCACCCAGCACCAGAGCTGCCCAAAGCAGTGTTTCTTAGGGTGTAGCCTGTTGTTATGCAATGCATGACTGTGCATTAAGCAAGAGGTAAATCTGAGGATTTAACAAACTAAAAGAGGTCAAAGGGGATGACTCCTTTCCCGGGGAGAGGATGCTATGCAGGATTGGTATCTAACCGGTTTCATTAAAACCAAAGAGGCACCGTCCCGTGTCCTCTCTGCCCACCTTTGCCTCCCACCCCAGCCCTTCCCGAAGATGTTGGCACCTGCGATTTTCTTTGGCTCAGAATGACTGCCATAGGAGGTCATTCCCTCTGCCCTGCTCTGTCCACCCCTCCCCTTCTCTCGCAGAGCTAGGTTCTAGCCAGCAGTCTTCCACGAAGCCCTTGTGAGGCTGAGAAAGCGGTGGGGTCTCAGGCTGCCACAGTGCTCAGAGCAGGGCTACTGGGTTCCCTGGTGGCGTGGTGCAGAAGGAATGTTCTCGGTCACCTTGACCACACCATCAACAAGGACCAGTGTGCTCAAAGGGCTACAGCAGATGCTTTATTTCCAAGAAGAAAATCTGACCTCTTTCCCTCAACTAGTCACATCTTATTTTTCTCTTTAAGTGACTCTTCTCAGTCTTACATGGTAGCACCAGTTTAGGTTGAACCCATGTGATTGTGTTTGGCTGTAAGGAACATGCAGACTCTAACAGTTCCTTTCTCTCATGGCCACAGCCCATGTGGACTGCCATCCAAGGGCCATGGCAGGGACACGGTCACCCATACCACGTGTTGTTACACTTGAGGCATTGGCATGATTATAACCGGGATGGCCAATCATCTGACTGTAAGTGGGGGTACTGAGCTGAGGAAAATTCTGTCGCGGCTGAATGTGGGCTTAAAGAGTGTTGTGATTGATTGGTGATGCCTGTGATGGGCACAGCATTGGACAGTGGTGGTATGTGACTCCAGTTACTACCCCTGATCTACACATGGTCCCAGTGAAGAATCTGCAGCTAGCACCTTGATGACACACTGCCTGAGAGCGAGTTTATGCTTTTTATGTTGGCGTCTTCCTCGATGCCTGGTACTTGCAGTATGTATATGAGTATGGAGGACTGGCTGTCAGTCTCATTGCATGCTAATTCAGGCCCACAGCGGCAGCTGCCTTCCCCCATGCCCAGGTACCTTAATGATGCTCTGGCAGGTGGAGAGCGGCAGGCCCACCAGGCTGGTGCCGTTGATGGACATGATCTGGTCCCCGATGTTCAGCTTCCCCGACTTCTCGGCGGGGCCCCCGTGCATCATGTTGGCTATGATCACAGTTGGCAGGATGGAGCCCCAGCCGGACTCCACAATCACCACGCCCAGGATTTCTCCTTTCTGCTTCTCGATGAAAACCTGAAAGGAGGGGAGAGCCTTAGACAGCCCCTAGCTGCAACGGCGGCGGGGGCAGAGGCAGGGACCACTGCTGCTCCCATTTCCTGTCTCCACTGGAGACAGGCGCTTACTGCTGGCTCCAGCCCCGGGGTAATTCATCTTCTCTGTGTCTGTGGCACTTACACAGGCCCATTCTGTTCTGTGTGGTGCACCCCTGCTTCACATAAGCAGTCTTGCCTGGACACAGCCACGGGGGTGGGCTGACACATGTCTGCATCTTTTTGTGCCTGCTGTCCCCTGGGTGGGAAGTGAAGTTCCGTCAGCAGGGGTGGGGGTTGCCTCAGCCTCGTGTTTCTGTTTTCAAGAAATAGCCCACAGTGCGTGCTGTCCTTGTATCCCTCGTGGGCAAGGCAGAGGAGAGAGGAGTGAGTGCTGACACCTCCAGCCTGGGAGGTTGGCAGAGATGCCAAAGCGGGTAAGGCCCTTCGTGGACACATCCAACAGAGTGCGCATGCGTGGGGGGCTTTAGAAGGGTCACAGAAAGTATGTATTGTATCATACGTATATTATGTTATGTGTATATATATACATTATAAAGAATGCATGGCTTTCAAAATTTTTTGCACCTAAATAAACCTATATTTTAATGCCACTGTGCATGGACTTTTTCAAGTAGCCTCTTGTCTACTGGGGCCTGAAAAATCCCTTTTGCAGGCAAGCGCCCCTGCCCCCTAGCTGCTGAAGTTCATGGGTGGCCCCGTCCTTGGAGAACCATCCTCAGCCCAAGGAGAGAAGCTCCCTGGCACCCCTTGAATGGTGTCCCCTCCAAGCTCCTATGCCCAAGTGCTGATCCCCAGGCTGTGACTGACTTGCAGGGCATCTCATGCCCTGCTTCTGGGGAATCTAAGACACCCATACTGCTCAAAAGATCCTTTTCTTCTTAAAGGTTCTTTCCAGCTATCAGATAGGGTCCAAGCCCTTCGACTGGACTTGCAGCCTCTCTGGTGCTGGCTCAGACCTCTGGCTGGTCTCTCCTCCTCCTGTGCTGCACCCACCTCCTGCTTCAGCTGAGCTGCCACCTCCTGATGTCTCAAACACAGAGCTTTCTGACCTCTGAGCTTCTGTCCCATTACTCTGGCCAGCTCTGTGCTTTCCCGTTGGGTTCCAAGTGATCCCTAGAACGGCATGGATGGCCCCATCTTTGTCCAGATTTTCCTGGAGAGCCTGGCCTGAAGCCCTGGGAAGCATAGAATTCGTCATCTGAAACCCACGACCTGCTATGTTTGGCCAACTGCAGTTGGCATTCTTTAAAATTTTACTTGAGAGAGAGAACTCTCTTGTGCTGGTTTACTTCCCAAATGCTCCCTATGGCGCCGGGCCAGAAGCCAGGACTCAATCCAGGTTTCCCTTGTGGGTGGCAGGGACCCAATTACTTGAGCCATCCCTGCTGCCTCTCAGGGTCTGTATTAGCAGGAAGCTGGAGTCAGGAAGCAGCTGGGTGTCACATCCAGGCACTCTAGTAAGATGCGGGTGTCTCATCTACTAGAACAAACTCCTGCCTCGGCAGCTGACCTTGGCTACTGCTGGTACCTGGCACCATCAGTAGACATTTTTGGTGCCTTTGGTGGATTGTGGGCTTTGTTCAGGTCTTATCTGCCTCTGAAACTCACCCAAAACTTCTGTGAATGCAGGAGCAGAGGATCTGCTGCCTCTGTCTGCACCGTTCACAGCAGTATTTAGTAACAGGGCCCATGAAGGGGAGCCAGGGGTGGGAGCGAGCCCCTTCCCAGTGGGCTGCAGATACCACACTTTCCCCTCCAGTGCCTTCACCCCTGTAGTAGGGCAGCCCTGCCCTCCCGCCACCCTCCCTGCCCGTGGCCAGTCCGGCCTGGTACACAGCTTTGGGAGAGCACCTACGTCTTTGCAGTTTTCCGACTTGGAGAAGTGGATCAGGTCGTCATTGTACATGTCCTGGGTGTTCAGCAGGTCGCTGTACTCCTTCTGGCTGAGGTCTTCAGGGTTGATGCCATTGGCCCTGAGGAACTCCTGGTATGCCACACTGAATGCCTGCCCGATGGACTGTGCGATCAGCTGGGCCTGCAACAGCAGCCAGGGCAACAGACAACCGTCAGTGCTGTGCGCCATAGCCCCGGGTCTCTGGTCCTCCCAGATGTCAGGGAAGCCGGCGGTTCTACACGAGGGCACCACTGCCCACCGGGGGCCACTTGCACAACTGTGGGGGATGTTTTGATGATGGCAGTCATCATTGTCCCACAGGAGGAGTCATTCCACATCCTGGAGGATTTTCCAGTATCCCATTGATGTTCCTGTCCATGCACCACCCCCTGCTGCTAACCATCTGACTCCAAGACTCAACTCCCACTTCTGTAAAACACGAACACTTTCCTTCCATGGGTCTTAGACACACTGACTGTTTCATGGGTAAGACTGTAAGCAGAGGGAAGCCATGTTTTCTCTGTCCAACACTCGGAACCAGGAGCATGGAAAATCGTCAGCATCAATGCTGGTCATGGCATCTGAGGCACAAGTCCCACCCCTCACAGCCTGCACTGCCCTGTTCTGCCTGGTGACTCTTCAGGTTTCCATATCTACCTCATATGTGGTCCTCGATCTGCAGTATCAAGTATTCCACCAAATCCTGTGTTCCTTTACATCCACACTTACTCATCAGGTGGTGTAAGCATCCGACTGTATCCTGATGCCTTTTGAGATGGACGGGCCCCAGCATTTATATACTGTGGTAGGGCTGTTTCTGTTTGCTTTCCTTTCTCCTTTGCATTATCTTTATTTGGTAAACGGTTCTTCAAAAGGGGAGGGTTGATTATATTAATCTATAAATTCTACTTTAGGATGCTAGTGGGGTATGGGAAAATAGTTCTTGTAGGGGAAATAAAGTGTTGGGTCCCACAGAGCTGAGTGACACAGATCCACAGCTCCAAAGTGTAAAAGCTACGGAAGGAACAAGGGGCTTTTGTAGTCAGTCGGCTTATAAACTTGGCGTGTGTGCACAGCTGTGTGGCAGTGTTTGGCCACCCTGGGGTGCACGGAGCTGAGAACCCTCCTCCGGTGCCACCCTGCACTTTGCAGGGCTGGAGACAGAGGCCCAGAGCCACAGAGGAACCTGCTGAAGGTCACACAGCTCTCGAGAGGAGGACGTGGCCTTCGCTGTTCTGTGATTTGAAAGCTCTCCCTGCGTTAGTAAAGCACCACTGTTAACTGGCTGATAGCAGCTGAGCCTACACCGCACTGAGCATTTCCCAAGGAGCACTGCGTGAATCCTCACGTCACTTCTGTGATGGGCCCTGCTGTGACTGGTCCACAGCTCCTCCTGGGCGACGGGGTGCTCACACCAGACGTGGCCAAGTGGCTCCTTAGGGTCTGTGCCAGGACCCCATGGCTGACCACGATAACATTTCTGTTGTAAAAGGGCTAACCTTCACGGAAAGTGGGACAGACGCGGCTGTGCACATGCGCCAGGTTTATAAACTGACCGGCTGTAAAAAGCCGTTTTTCCTCCCTCCTGTGACTTTTAGACTTTGGAGTAGCTGATCTGTGTCACTAGGCCCCACTGCACACGCCCGGAAACAGAGGCTGAGCTCCACATTCCCTCAGGCGGTGATGGGGCTGGGGGCTGAAGGCAGAGCCCACCCTCCCACCACCACATGGGACAGCCTCCCTGTGAGGTTCTGATGGGCACAAAAACAAAACCAGAGGTCTCTGAGCGATGCTTTCAACACACGCAATCCTGGCCTCCAGCCAGCTCTCGCTGCCCTTCTCTAACTGCTGGAACCAGCAACTCGTTAACAGCGATTCCGGACCTTTCTGCATGGCCCGGGGAAAAGAAAATGCTTTGCTTTTCTCGCTCCCAGAATCTGGTGACTTCACATGCCACAGGCCACACCCAGAATCTGCACACTCCTCCCTGCTGTGAAACTGGAGGGGAGTGAGGCTTCCGCGGACACAGGCTTGGGAAGATGAACTAGGAAGCGTCCACCTAGGAGTGTGACCAGGCCCTGCCTTACGACCCTATGCCGGAAGCCCCAGGCGATCACGCTGGCTGCAAGTGTTATGGGCTGTTTGCCATGCACCAGGTGTAGGGCTTCAAATGACGTAGGCGTAGGCCCTCAGTCACAGCAGCCCATCGAGGAGGCACTGTCATCCCTGGGCCCAGCGGCTGCACAGCCTGGTCGTGGAGGCAGGACCCAAGCCCACTGTCCCCTTTCTGGAGTCCCTGTGCTTCGTCCATGCTCGACTGGAGGCCAGGGGAAGACACCTGGGTCTGCTGTTGGTGTAGCTTTTGCTTCTCCATTCTTCTGCCACTGACCCAGAAGAACCAGAAGGAACACAGAGCCCCTCCCTACGCGCTCCGGGCTGGGTGGAGGTGGCAGAGGGTCCCACAGGGCCCCTTCAGCACGGTGAGCAGCCCTCACTCCCACTGCGCACGCAACACCACAGGAGGCACACAATTCTCTTCTTTCATTCTTCTGAGAAACACGGGCAGCGCAGGCTTCTCCCGGCTTGCATCAGTGTTAAAGGAACAGCGGGGAGGCGGCACGGCAAGCTCCTTGTCCAGGGCTGCTTTCTGGAGCAGCAGCCCAGGAAGGACCATGACGATGGCAGCACAGCCGGCACGGCTCCGCTCCCCTGGGGAGAAGCAGGCCTGCCTCCCGCCCCTGCCTTTCTGGAGGAAAGCACTTGACTGCAGCTCGATAAACTCGCTACTGGAGAAAAATGGGCTCTTTACAGGCGCCAAGGCTACCACAGTAATTTCCTTCCAAGTGGATGAGGCTCTCTGCTCCCAGTGTGAAGCAGAGCTGCTGTGGCGGGGGAGGGGAGATGGCAGTCACCAGGACTGGCCTGGTGCCGGGGTGGGGGCAGGGAGCAGCACTGGTGCGCATGCAGGCTGAAGCCTGGTGGCCTCACTGACAGTTGATGACAATGCCAGTGATCAAAGCACGGCTCCTGTACTCATTTTCCCCACCGTTCTCATCACCCCAAGACTAGAGGTGACACAGGACTGTGCTTGGGTGTGTGTGATGTCCCTGCCATCTGATGGGAAGGGGGGGTGACAGCTGCCTAGTGGACCACAGCACAGTCCTGCACAACGAAGAAGGGTCCTTCCCCAAATGCCCCGGTGCTCCAGTGAGACCGGCCTAGGCTCCTATGGGATGGATTGGGTCCCCCCTCCCTGCTTCCCCCATCCCAAGCTCTGCAGCTGTGTGGCCTCCTTTCACTTCCCCAGACCAATGCAGCAGGCCCCTGCCTCGAGGCCTTGGCACTTGCTCTCGTCTCATCCTCGCTTTATCCAGGTCTCTGTTCAAATGTCACCTTCTCATGAGAGGACTCTGCTGGTCAGTGTGACGTGGCCCCGCCTCTCTCCTCCTAATTCTGTCCTATTCTCCCATGTCCCACTCCCCACTGCCTCACCTTAGTGTGTACATTTACCTACTTCTGTTCCCTTCCCACCTTCTGATTCAACCTTCCAGCCCAGCACAGCAGGTGCTCAATAAACACACTCCTTAACAGATGAATCAGAAAGGTTCAGGTGCTGAGAGACTGAGGGATGTGACCACCCCGCGGCTGCCCAGGTCTCCGGACGGAAGCGCGGGGGAAGCCACCCTTACGTCCTCAGACTCAAAGACGTGGCAGATCATCTTGTACTGCCTTTTGCCATCCTGGGACGGGTGGGAGGCCTCCACGTGCTCCTGGGAGTTGGAGCGGGGCACCCGCCGGCGGGCCATCAGCACGACGATGTTCCCGATGTCCGCGATGTAGGAAATGGTCCTCAGAGGGTGGTCCATCATGGTCTCCTGGGAGGAGGGGGGAGGGGAGAGGGCGGTGAGGCTGGAGCAGTGACCAGTCACCCACGGGAGAGCCTGCCCATCTGCAGCCCAACATGCTGTGGTCCACGCGTGGAGCTCAATGCAAAGACCCAGCAGCTGGACCAGGCCTGGGGGCGTTTCCCTGGCTAACCAAGAGCAGGTGAAAAGAAGCAAGAAATCCCATATACTTCACAGCACTTTGGGGAAGTTAAAAAAAAAAAATCTAGAAGGCATGGTCGCTGTTTGTTTCCCTGGACGTGTGATTTTAAACTAAATCTCCTTACCGGCTCATCTGTCCGTGTTGAGAACTTTCGCGAATCATCAACAACTTCTGTGCTTCCGTTTTTCCACTAAGCTTTAGGAAAAGAGGCCCCAGCCCGGCCTGGCAGCAGGCATTGCAATCCCGGGGGCCAGGGCGCTCTTACCTGTGTGTCGGCGTTCAGCACTTTAATTCTCTGGGTAGAGATGAAGAGATCCACCTCGGTCATGGGCTGAGACTCGCCCTCAGGAGCCTGAGAGGGAAAAACACAGCCTGACCCAGATGCGCACGAGCAGGGTGAGCTCACGCTTGCTCAGTCTCACACACGCTCAGTCTCACACACACTCACACACACACACTGACACAGAGGGGCCCCAAGACACAGTCACCAGAACGGCACCCCAGACTCCGGGAATGAGCTGCCAAGGCTGAAGACCCACACGGAGGATGGCCACATGGACAACAGCCCGCACGTGCAGTTATGGGGGAACGTGCGGAGTCCCCCTGGCTGCTGCTCCCAACAGACGCGGTAACTACTGCAGCACGGTTGGCTCTTTTGGAATGACGATGGCTAAGGGTCTGGAGCCCAACACGATGGAGGAAGAAGGGGAACAGACTGATACCCGGGGACCTGGAGGGTAACGTGGCGCTTACACTGGATTGAGCTGATGGGGATGGTATCTGCAGCAGATGCAAGCGAAGCCGTTTGGATGCAGTTCTGGTAAGAGGGTCTTCAGGTTCACACACCAGCACAGCGACACAGAAGCACCTGCCCACTCCTGGAGCCACCCCATTAAGAAAGCGCTCCAAGGCTTCAGTGTCCTGGGAGCAGTGCACAAGCACCTCACAGCCCCACAAAAAGCACAGCCTAGTTCGTTTAGGGCTCCACTCCCCGCACCAGTGGTTATTAGTGAGTGTTCTTTTTTTGCATCCAGCAATTTGAGAAGTCCACGAATCAAACATAACTGGAATTGCACAGACCTAAGTCCCTGCCACACCAGCGCTCTGAATGGTTGCAACTTCCTCATTCCTAAGGATTCCTTCAGCAGCCCCAGTTTGCTCCCTGTCGTTGCTTTGGAGTGAGATGACCAATGAGCAACAGAAAACGGCTGCTTCAGGCAACTGAGTTTTGAGAAACGCAGGCTTATGGGGCGATTCAAAAAGAAATTGGGAAAAAAACTTGCTGGATGCAGAAAACAAAAACACAAAATAAGGAGGAGGCAAAAAACAAATGAAAAAGACGGGCATAACACCAAGCTGATGAAGTTTTTGGTACTGCACCTTCTTCCTGCTTTTGGCTAATTTCTGGGCCATCTGCTTAGCATGGAACAAACAGAGACAGGAGAATAGTTAGAAAAGAACTTGCAGACTCCAAGTCAAAAAGGGGATTGACAAAGTATGCTGATTAGTGGCACAAGGCATTTCCGTGGGAGGAAGACAGGCTGAACAAAAGTCCCACTCTAAAGACAACTGATTTCCTCATTCAGAATTCAGCAGGTGCTGGGGGCAGCAGGATGAAGGATGTGTTGATACAGCATAACTGCAATGGATCTTTTTGAAGGATCAAGTTTTGGTTCTTTTGGTTTTATTGTATGCCTGTTTTTTCTATCTTATTAATTTCACCCTAGATCTTTGTTTCCTTCTACCTTCTTTAGGCCTAATTTGCTGTTTTTCCCAGCATGTTGAAAATCAACACAAAGATTTGCAAACCTTTTTGTTACCTAAAACTATGAATATGCCTTTAAGTACTGCTTTGACAGTATTTCCACTACTCTTGGTATGCTGAAATTTAACTGCTGTCCCGTTAAAATATTTTCTGATGTCCACTGCGATTTGTCTTTTGGATCTTTGGCTATTTAGAATGGTTACTAATTTTAATACATTTGGGGATTTTCTAGTTATCTTTATTGATTTCTGAATTATCAGTGCTCAGAGCACATATTCTATATGATTTGTCTTTTGAAACTTGCTAAGACACACCTGGATGGACCAGCATCTGATGTTGGCGAGTGTGTCACATGGGCATTACAAGATTCATCCTGCAGTTGTTGAGAACAGTGTTCTACCAATGTCCATTGGCTTAGCTGAGTTGGTATAAAAGTATTGTCCATCTTTTATGTTCATGCTGATTTTGGGGTCTTTTTTATACCATTTATTGAAAGAGGCATGTGAAAACTCCCAGCTGTTTGTGTGGATCTGTCTGTGCAGTGTGTTGGTTCTGTCCATCTGTGCTTTATCTGTCTGGTCGGTAATGTTATAAGGTATAGCCGCACTTACGATGCTGTGTCTTCCAGTTGAACTGACCCTATGGTTGTTCTTGCTCTTTCTAGTCATGCTCCTTGCCTTACACCTGAGTGATGCCAATGCAATCATGCCTGACTAAAGATGGATGCAATATTCACCCTTCTCATAATTCATATCACAGCTGATAAAACCCTAAGACTTTGGGGCGAGTTTTTCTTGATGCTGCCACCTACTAATTGTGGGCATTTTGAGTGAACCATTTGTCTCTGCACCTTAGTTTCTTCATTTGTAAAATGGGGGATAAAAATAATAGTAACTGCTCATAGGGTTGTTGTGAGGATGAAACAACGTAGGCAAAGTTCTTGAGCAGTGTCTGGTGCATTCTAAGCACTGTCCTTGCATTTGCTGTTGTGTGAGTGCCATCAGTCCACATCAGGATGCAGTTTCTTGGCTTCTGGGAAGACTTGCTATATACAGCTGTTGTGCAAATGATGAGTCAACAGCCACACTGGGGCTGCTACGGTGGTGATGCGGGGTGGGGTGGGGTGGAGGGACAGCTGGCCTTGCCTTCCTTGGTACTCACCTGGTGGAAAGCTCTTTTGCTCCCCGCAGCCATCTCTACCTCATTAGGGACTCAGATGTGTCTCCTAGACTGCCTCATTGCAGAGAAACTGGACGAGACAGCCATCCACACAGCACCTGGTTCATCTCTGGTCTGCCCAGGGAACTAGGGCAGCCCCACTCCCACACAGCAGCCCCGGAGCTCTGACTGGTGCTAATGAGTTCATGGTGAGCCGTCCGCAGGCAGCACCTGCTAGTGTTCCCCTAATTCCCGCACAGTGAGCGGAAGTGTCTACCTCTGAGAAGTAGCCCTGTGGCACGGCGGGTCTGTGTGGGACCCTGGAATCCAGCCAGGTGTGGTCTGGCCTGCACGGGTCATTAACTGTTAGATCAGTGACTGCTGTTGGAACTCACTGCTTGCTTTCTATCAGCTTCCTTGAAATGATGTGGCTTCATAGAGGAATTTCCACACCTCCTGATAACAAAACCTAACATCTGGGCTCACATGTCTGCAATATTAGAGTCCACTGTCAATTTTCTATTTTTCCTGACACCGGTGATGAGGAAGAAGATCTGTAAGGTGAACTGGGTTTCAGGACAGGTATTCTGAAATAACTTCTATGCAGTTAACAATGCTTTCTGTACTCACACCACTACCATCTTTACATTACTCGAGGTAGCCAAGTGCCCTGCAATGCATCATAACCAAAAACTGAGCTCTGACATGGGGAAGTGAGAGGTCAGAGCCACCGTGAGACCCCCAGGTGGCAGTAAGTGGCCCAAGAGAAACAGAAAGGCAAGCAGGCACCTTCAAGAAAGACATGACGATATCCACATATATGCTGTTTCAGAGAGCCACCTGGGGCTTTCCACACCAGCATGGCACTGTGTGCCACAAGGCCAGGTGGGGAGCCCATGTGCACTGTCGACTGCTGGGGAGACCCCCTACCCCGGGGTTAGGCTGGCTGCTCTAGCCACACCCTCCTCCCCCTCCCCCAGCACCTGACAGGTGCCAGGATCCTTTCGCTGTGAAAGCTTACTACAGCCCTGTGAGGCTCTAGAAGAGGAAAGGGGAGGTGCAAAGATGTTAACTTGTTAACTGACTTGCCCCAGGCACCACCCTGTGAACTGACAGCACGGAGAGTCGCCACCAGGTACTCCCTCTCACCGAGCATGGGGTTAAGCCTCTCTGCTGATTCCTGGCTCCCACCCTTCTGAGGAGCCAAACGAGGTAACGCGTGTGAAGCGCCCCCTGTACCGTGTCCACATCCTCGTGACAGATCAGACTTGGAGCAAGATGGACAGTGGCATGACATGGACAAAGTGATCGTGACAGAAGCTGTAATTCTACTGTGAAGTCATAACCAAAGTATACCTTGTCTCATAAAAACAAAAATGACAATATCTGCTTATCACGAATGGTCCTTACAAACAGAGACCACGAAGCACCTAACCACCACCTGCGACGTGGTTACACAAGGCACAGATAGCACTCTGCGTGGGCAGGAGGCAGTCTGTGTGGTCCAGGGCACCGGACCCTCAGGCTGAAGAGCAGAGAACAGAGCAAGAGGGAGGGTGGGAACCAACAGTGGAGATGCAGGGGGAGAAGGGGAGACCAGGAAGCCAGCGCGGCCTTCAAGTTTGGCTCTGTCTGGACAGGGGCAGGCCTGCTCCCCTCAACGTGTGTGAAGAGATGAAGGTCTGCCCAGGGCACGTGAGTCTCATAGCACCAAGGGCACTGCTCTCCCCAGACGTGTTCTGGAGAAAGCTAGCAACAAGGCCTCAGTAGGCAGCACACGGGGATGGCACATCCTATAATTACGCTCACATCATGACGGGAGTCACCTCTGTGCAGGACTTCTCAAAGCTTTGAGTGGGATGGCTTAGGTGGCAGGCATCCAAAAAGCAGGACCTGTATGCTCTGTCTCCGGAAGTGCCTTGCCAGGGAAACCCTCTCGGTGACACGCCCCCGGCCTCAGGAGAGTGCTCTACCTTGGGCTGGCCTACCCTCCTTTGGGTCCAGGCTCCTGCCTCCCTGGGGCTGCGGTGGGGCCCGAGGTTCTGCATTTCTGAGAACCGCTGCCCTAGGCACCCTCCAGGTGCACAGGGGCCTCCTAGAAGGGCACTATTGTTTCTCAACAGCGACGGGCAGTGAAGGCCGAGAGGACACGGAACAGAGAGCACAGGACCAACAATGACTATAGCTTTCCTGGGATTCGGCTCCTGTGTTCAGACTCGCGTGCTTCTGCCTTGGTAGCCGGGCAGCCTCTAAGGCTCATGTCACCCCTACTTAGGCGGTCTATCTCCCCGTGGTTGGGAGGCTCCCTGTACTGGGGGGAAGTCTTCCCAAGATCAAGGACTGTGTGGTTAACTTTTACTCCTCAAGTGTCCCTCACAGGGCCTGCTTAGGGACAGTTTGCTTTCTGGGCCCAATTCCTTTGTTTTCATATTAAGTAGAAGGGGCCTGGCCAAACCACAGCTTCCAATGCTCTGTTAGACAAATCAAATCTTCTGTTCAATGAAGAAGGCAGTGGTTCTCAAGATGTCAAGAGTAAATCCAGCAAGCCGTGTTGAATTCTAGTATACAGTCGGTGCATTGTGAGTGACAGCCATCACAATCAACAAATAGAAATTAAAACTACTGCTAGGAAATAGCAATGTCAGCTCTAGGGCGGGTGCCTGCTCGGTGGTAAAGCACCACCAGTACCAGGATGGTGGTAATGCAAGTGGGAAAACGGAATTAAAAAGTTTATTCTGATGTCAAAAAGTCCCTTGAAAACCATGCATGGGTTTTTTTTTTTTTTTCATAATACACATTTTTAAAAGAACTTTTAAAAAGACTCCTTTTGAAGATGAGAGGGAGCTATCTTCCATCCTCCGGTTCACTTCCTAAATACCCTTGGTGGCAGGGCCTAGGCCAGGCCAACAAAGCTGGGAATGGAAAACTCAGTCCAGGACTCCCACGTGAGTGGCAGAGACTCAGTGACTTGTGTGCCCTCACCTGCTGCCTAGGAGGCTATGCATGAGCAGGAAGCTGCAACTGGGATAGAGCTGGAACGTGAACCCAGGCCCTCTGTTACAGGCTGCAGGCATCCCAGGCAGTGTTGGAACTGCTGTGCCAAACACCCACTCCCTCCAGACTCCTCCTATGAACAGGTGATGTTCTGTGCATGGCATTATTTAGTTGGAAAGCCTTGGAAGCTATGAATGTGAGGTTTTTACATGCTTTTGTGAACTTGTGGTGAGGGCCGGGGCCAAGAGCAGGGTCCCATCTGCCCTCCCGGGAGAGGCTACATTTAGGAGACGTACCACCACAGCATCAGGGTCCTGAGTGTGTGAGCATCCAGATGTAGCAGACAACTGCGTGAAGAAGCTGGTAGGTCCCGGCCTCTGCACACTGGGTGTCACCTATCAGTGTTGGGACCAAGGCCACCTTTCTATTCTCTGGTTTCTCCACGCTCATACCCAACTTGTCAGGAGGAATATGAAAAGCTGCAGGACAGACTCCCTGTCTGCACTCTGGAGACTGAAGGGCAGGGCCAGCTCTGAGCTCCGGAGAGAAGTGCATCCTGTGGGTGCAGAGCAGTGCTAAGAGCAGCAAGCAACACGTGGAGGCCACAGCAGCAGGTGCAATGGACATGGCTTGATGAGGAAGCAATGAGAGGGGACCTGGGACAACCACACAGCATCCTGAGCAGCTGCAGAATAACGCAGCTGGGGGGACTCAGTGTCATCCTAGCAAAGACATCAAGGGCCACATGAGTTGTATCACAGCACCCGACAGTCTCGGTACATCACTATCACAGGAATTGGCTTAGGCAAGGGGCCTGGACCAAGCAGCTCTTTGAACGTGGCGTCTCACCTCTCCAGACTTCCCATACCTTCCTGGGGTACCTGGGCCCTAACACCTTTCTCTGGTCCTCTGGCACACCCTGTGCATCTACTGGCCTCATTCCTCATCCCTTCATTTGTGCTATTTAGCTTGAGCATAAAAAAACTCACCCCTTCAGTTGCTGTGTTTTTTCTTTCTCCCACAGGCACTGCACCACCCTGCACACCTAACTACTTGAGGCATTTGTTTTTGATTGACAGGCTGAGGCTGCTCTCTTACTGCCTCCTGCTGGCCTTTGCTTCTCCTTTCTCAACCCCACATCCACCCTAGATGCAACCTGGGAAGGTGGCAGAGGGAAGGCGTGAGAAATGACATGCTCCTCCCTGACTTGGACCCGAGTCTGACCAGCTGAAATGCAATGAAGCCCACTCTGGTGACTCCTAGTTTATTCTGACTTGCTGGAAATGAAACCCGGGCCTGAAGCTCTAGGGAGAAGGGCCTCATGGCTCCAGGGGGGCTGCCTTGTGCACAGTCCTGGATGCTGGTGGCACAGTGGTCTCTGGACTGCAGGAATGGAATGATGTGTCCCTGTGGTCCTCCTGGTCTGTCCAGGATTCTCGGTGGCTTTGGCAAAGAAGGGCTGGATCAAACTAGCGGTGAGTGACTTAAATGGGATCAAAGTAGCTCTTTTTGGAGAAGATGGGCTTGTTCTTTTTAAGTGTCAATGAAACAGTGTCAAACAGGCTGGAACTGCATCAGCTCAGCACTGACTTGCGCAGGTTAGAGTGGATCTCATGGTTTATTTGAAGCAAGCCCGTCCAGTCTAGCTGGACCAGGCTCAATTAGTTCAAAAGCAATGCCACCAAATTTGAACCACTTCTGCAACTAACTGATGGCTAGTTGGTTGAAATTCAGGGATCCGTGCGAGACTCAAAATCACATCCTTACTCATCATAGTGACGTTTCCAAGTTCATGGTCATTGTTATTTTTCCTCAAGGTTGGCCACTCAGAACACTGTGGGACTCTATTTTCTTTTAGAGTGGTCTGAGGAGCCTTGGGTAAGCACCGCCTGTGGTGTCACTATGATCCCCTAACTTGGGACTGTGTACACAGGTGTGGATGGCGCAGTGGACTGTGTGGGGGCCTGCCCCTGCCCGCCGCCCCCTCACCTTGATCCTGCTTACTGCTTCCTGGGCCTGCATCATGCGCACGTTTTTGGAGGGAGTCTTGTCTGACAGCAGCTGGGTTGAGCCGAGGTAACTGGCTGCAAAGATGATTCCATCGATCAAGTCTTCAGGGTCACAAGGTCCGGGAACTGGAAGACACGGAGCAGCAGAGGTGAGTGCAGCCTCCCCAGGGCCAGGGGTGCCACACAGAAGACCCCTGGGCAGCTGAGTGCACCTGTCAGCCTAAGGCGGGGGTGGGGAACTTTCTGTTCTGCCAATCACCATTTAGATATTTACAGCATCATTAACAGGTCGTACAACATTATCTGTGTAAACCTTAGCCTGCTGTAGATGACTGGATTCTGTGGCTGTCTTGGCAGGGCCAGCCAAATGAGCTTGTGGGCCTTATAAGCCCAGGGGCTGAGGGTTCCCATACCGTGCTAAGGCAGCCTCCGTAGTCCTTCACCCACCCCTCATTTTCAAACAAAGGCCCTGAGTCTCCCATTCTGCTCAAGTCATTGACTGTGAGAAATGATGCAAGTATTTATGTCAGGATGAAACGTTACAGATGTCATGTCTCCTGTTAGGCTGTGCTCTTTGGGGACAAACGCCACATTCTATTCATCTCTGCCTCTCAAGCTGTGGGTATTCACCAGCTATTGAGCAGATACTTGGTTAGGTGAAGTTGGTCTTGTTATGAGACTTGGTTTTACCACGGTTCTTCTTACTTGCCACCCATTTATTTGTCCCTCCCTCCATTCTAATCCATAATGGAGGAAACAAGTGTTGCAAATCAGAGAATTGGGGCCTTGGTTTGAAAGGTCTTCATTTGAGTAATTGGCCCCAATTCTGCAAGACAGATAAGGTTACCCTAAAGCCATGATTCTATGCTGCCAATCTTGCTGACTTATAGGTCCTACTGTTCCCAGGCTGCACCCACACACCGATCAACTCGATGTAAAAGGAAATTTTTCTGTTTTCATTGACCTACCTTTTAAACCAAACTTGTTTTAAATAGAGTTCTAACCGACTCAGCTTACGCCTCACCTGAAATCACATCACTGGGACTAACACAGAACTGCAACAGGTTCATTAAAAAAGGTATTTAAAAAAAGATTTATCTGAACAGTAGAGCAACAGAAAGAGAGAAACCTTCCGTCCACTGCTTTTCTGCCCAATGGCTGCTACAGCCGGGTCTGGGCCAAGCTAAAGCCCGCTGGGAACTGTACTCCTGGTCTCTGCTATGGATGGAAGGGGCCCAAGCACTTGGGACATGTGCTGCTGCCTTGCCAGGTGCATCAGCAGGGAGCTGGGTCAGACATGGAGTAGCTGGGATTGAACCTACATTCCGATACGGGATGCTGCTGTTACAAGCAAGAGCTTAAATCACTGTGCCACTGCACATTGGCCCAAAAGAAAGGCATTTTGGGGACTGGCACCATGGTAGCAGGTTAAGCTGCCATCTGCAGTGCTAGCATCTATATGGGCTGCTCCACTTCCAATCCAGCTCCCTGCTAATGCACCTGGGAAAGCAGCACCCTCACAGGAGACCTAGAAGAAGCTCCTGGCTTTGTACCAGCCCAGCTCTGGCCATTGTGGCCATTTAGGGAGTGGACCAGCAGATGGAAGATCTCTAACTCTGCTTTTCAAATAAATACATCTTAAAAGAGGCATTTTGATCTGTAACTAAAACACGTACTTCCTTTGGGTTGAATGCTCTTATCTGAGGGAATATAGTTTTTTCCACCCATTGTTAAAACCTTAATTAGATAATTAATTAGATAACTTGAAATGGAAATACTTTGCTTTTTGCTCTTGGAGGGCTAATCTGAAATGCTTTTTATTTTTATCCTATAATATCAAGCTCATCTTGAGCTGAGCTACTTATCAGGGTACAAACTTCAAATAACGGATGAATGTTTCTAAAACTAAAGTGGTGGTTAAGCAGGAACTGACCATTGTGTTAGGAAGGGCCTCCACAAGGTGTCTTTGTAGTAGTTCAATGAGACTCCTTACTTATCTTATGCTTGAAGTTCCCGAAAGACCAACCGGTGTCCACTGCATACCATATGTTCTTTATCAGTCCTTGTTATTTGCACAGTCATTTGCATACCTGTTATCTACATTATTTTCGACAGCCACAGTTCCCACCCTGAAACTGCAGAGGTGGGAGGAGGACTCAGGAAGTACACTTAACTGTATCAGGGAAGCAGCACTGCTCTACTATACCAGCGGATGGCCCCATGTGGCCCCACACTATGTTTTACACAAAATAAAAGACTGCCAGTCTTCTGTAAGTTCCCAATGGAATCATAACATCGCTTAGAAAAAGTTCCACTTTTTTAAAAAAATGAATTTTAGAATAAAACGTAACACCTTCTCTATGGGACTTCCAGTATCATATATTCATGTCTGACTTAGGTCTTTTTATTCCTCTGCAGTAAGTATGGATCTGCAGGTATGTTGAAAAGCAATCCAAGTAATAACTAAGTGACCGCATGAATGCTAGGCAGGTCAGAGACACAAATACCAGGGCTAAACAAACTTTAAGTCTGACCTGTGATCTTGTGCCATGACTGTAACTGGATATCGCTGTATCACACTAATTGCCTAAAGTTAATGTAGGGTCTGTGCTAGTGTATTCTTTAGAAGCTAAAAATAAGTGACAGCCATGGTGGTACCCATCTAGGAGGCACAGGTCTCACTGTAGCCTTTTGGTACAGGGTTTTGCTTCCAGCGATGCCCCAGGCTGCTCTGTGGAATTAGAGTCTTACACCTGGGTTAATGCTGAGACTGAAAATATGAAGGAAGGTTTCCAAACTTAGGAAGACCTCCCAGGGAACTTTCTGGGGGACGCCCCCCCCCCCCCCCCCCCCCCAATTATACCATTCACTTACAGGTTACTGGAAAAAGCAAGCTAGGTAACTAAGCCAAAACTATGAGCTCGTCTCGGACTCAAAGCCTGAGGGTTGATGAATCCTGGTATCTCAGGACCAGGCTCCAAAGGCCTTACTTAGAGACATGCCTGGGCAGTCCTTCCTACCTGAAGCAGCACCTGCCGTCCCCCGGTAGACCACAGCTGTCACCTCTAGGAGAGGCTGCCTTTGTGGCAATGTGACCTCGAACTGGGATGCATGGTGTGAACTGAGTGTTGGCATCATCTAGGTGCCCATGTGCAGTGAAGAACCTGTACCACTATGATGCAGCTTTAAAAAGCTTGGGGGCAGGGGAATGGAATTACACGATGATGTGCATTTTCCACAGCCCTTTTGAGCTCAGCCCTGCAGAGAATTCCGGTTCCAAGGAATATATTGTGGAGTCCAGCTATCAAGTCAGAGCCTGGCTCTGCTGCTTGCTAACACTGTAACTCCAGGCAAGTTATGGACCCTATCAATATCCCTTCTCAGTTTGTTCATGCGTCACCTGAGGATATAACAACCCACTTCGCAAGAGCTAATTAGTTATTAAATGCAAGTTCTTAGAATAGTCCCAGGCATCTGCCTGATAGTAAGTGTCTGATCAGCATTACTATCGCTGGTTCACCCATGCAGTAGCTGGAATCACTGGGAAGGCCTTTCTTAAAAAGAGGACAAACATTTCTCCCTTGAAGCTCATTCCCACTTGAACTGTCCTTGATGGAAGGAAGAGGTGCAGTGGGCTAGAGGCAAGGAGATTTGGCTTTCAGATCCAGCGCGGCCACTACTGACCATGGGTAAAGCCCGCGCCTTGCCTGTAGCCTCCAGTCTTGATCTCCATCAGGAGTGAGGGAAGGAGGATTTCTGAGAGGTTTGCAGCTCCTGGACTTCAGTCTAAGCTTCTGATTCTCTTAACACCGGGAATGAGCGACTCTGGGGCCTGCTTCTCCACTACTGTGTTACATCCCAGCGCCTCAAATGCCTGTCATGCTAAAAAGTTCATGGAATGACATCATGCTCAATATTTATTTTTTTTTCAGCTCTTACCTTCAACGTAGGTTGGGAAGGAAGCCAAGCTTTTTCTTGACTGAAATTGAGACAAAGAAGTTTCAAAAAGGGCACAGCATGGTGAAATATGCATTAACACAACCATCCATGTAAGTTTAAAAGGAACTGCATCACCAGTGGCAGTTACAAACCAGTTATTGACCATTTTTTGGTTAGAAAAAATATGGATAAACATATGCATGTATTTATTAAGGGTTGTCTAAAACTCTGAATAGTGCATTCGCATTTTAGATCATCTGAAAATTCTGTACTTCAGACTAGTGTCTGTCAGTTTAACAGTATCCCATAGATCAAAACCTGTAATCAGGTAACAAGGGCACAATTGGTATTCTGAAGAATCTGCATTTCCATAAAAAAACTGCTGATGAGTAAAAGCACCAACACCATGATTGCATGTGGAAGTTAAGAATTCCCTTAGAGACTTTTGTGTTGGAGACCTAAGTCTCCACTGCAGTTATCTCTCACTGTGCTAAAAATGTGTGCTGGAGTTAAAGAAAAAAAAAAAGCAGCTCTTCCTTTCATCTCTTACAGATTTACTTCAATCGAAATATTCCATTATACAAATCATTATCATATATTACCTCAAACTTCCTCTTTTGTGGGGTCTTAATATAAAAGCCTGGAATTTCTCATATAAGTAACACAGCACTGCTGGAGCTGGATGAGGAGTTAGAGCTCCTGCAGTCTGACTGAATGCCAGCTCTCAGAGGAGGAAAAACGTGCTATAGGCTCCTTCCAAAAGCAAACGTCCTGTCCTAGACCAAATGTGGAATAGCAAGTAGCAGGGCACTTGCAAGAGTGCCTGGGAAACAGAAGTAAAGGGTAAGTTCATTTTGGTACAAAAACATTTCAAAATCCATGCACAGTGGGTTTTTTTTTTTTTTTTTAAATTTTTGACAGGCAGAGTGGACAGAGAGAAAGGTCTTCCTTTTCTGCTGGTTCACCCTCCAATGGCCGCTGCGGCCGGCGCACTGCGCTGATCCGAAGGCAGGAGCCAGGTGCTTCTCCTGGTCTCCCATGGGGTGCAGGACCCGAGGACTTGGGCCATCCTCCACTGCACTCCCAGGCCACAGCAGAGAGCTGGACTGGAAGAGGGGCAACCGGGACAGAATCTGGCGCCCCGACCGGGACTAGAACCCGGTGTGCCAGCGCCACAGGCAGAGGATTAGCCTAGTGAGCCGCGGCGCTGGCCAATGCACAGTGTTTTCATAATGCATGTTTTCCATGAACTCTGTGAAGACTCCTCACATGTGTGGATTTCAGGTTTTTTGGTACCAAAATAAACTTGTATTTTAATTCCATTTCCCACAAGATTTTTGAAGTAGCCTCATATATTGAGGGTGCTAGCCCAAAATTCTGGAGGCCCTGGGGGACCAGAGGAGGAAAGGTCCCTGAGTAAGGGCTGGGCTGTGATGGGGGAACTCCAAACTGCAGCATTCTATTTAACACTCTTCACTCACAAAAAGATGGTGAGTTACCACTTGCAAAATAATGCTGAAACTATTAACATGAGAAATTGGGGGCAGTTGAAGAAACCTAGTTTTAAGACTCTAACTCAATTCAGGACAATGACAGGAACTCAACACTGACCATACAATATACCTCACACTGCACTTTGGCCAGTAAGCCTACTGCAGATGTACTTGCTGAGATGAGATTAATGGTTCCAGATGCCCAAGACAGTGAGGATCTTGTGGAGCAGGAACAGAAGTCTACCGCATGCTATTGCATTTATGGAACAATGCACACCAAGCAAAAGCCAGGATGTGTGGCTAGGAGGAAAGAGAACCCCAGCACTGGCCCACATGAGAAGACAGGTCCAGTTGAGTACCCTCAGCCAATTAAGTCTAAACATCCAGTTAACTTCATGGCATGTAGATGAAAACTAGCTTCTCCATGAGGGTCAAATACTTGTTGATTATGGTTTCCCAACAATCTCTCTGCCCTTAGGCCCAGGTGGGGCTTAGCTTTCAGGTACATCCAAGAAGTCCACTCACATCTTCTTGGGCTATTAGGCTACTTTCCTGCATGCTAATCTCCAAGACAGTGACCAGATTTGAGCACAAGTTACAAAAGAATTATTTTAGTCCATAGCTCTAAAAGCTGCCATTTTCTTGAGAGCTACAATGGCGGGCATGTAATGCATTCACTTATTCTTTATTCATGAGCTCAGGACTCGCTTTCTTTAGTCTCTGGGGTAGTAAATTTTCTTTAAAAAGAATTTTGTGAAATGAAAGAGTCTAATTATTGCACACAAAGAGGATTTTCATCATTATTTCTAAGGATATGCAGAAACATGTGCCAAGTCTTGTAGGAGCTGAGAAACTAACAAATTTGCCTTGCTTATTATATCTGATGCATAATCAGATGCTGAATATTCAGTGGGCTGATGAGCCCTTTGTTTTTTCGCATGTGGACTGAGATGAACATCAGTGGACCCCTTAACATTTGAGAATTAATAAAGTCACATTTGCACAGTTAAAGACTGACATCATTGAGATTTCCAGGGGTTGCACAAACCCTGTATGGAGCTTGGAGACCTGACACTTGGAGTAATAATAAAGAAACCACCTTGCAGTGGCAGCCATGACCTACAAGCACTGTCCGCCCAGGGTAGCAGATCCTGGCGGCTCAGAGCACTGGTCCACAGGAACTCTGGATTCAAATCCTGGCCACCCACTTGTGGGCTCTGTGACCTCAGGAAGTTACCCAACTACCAAATGAGGATGATACCTATACCTCATAGAATTACATTCAAGAAGTAAGTTAAATACTACCTTGGATTTTCTCAGCCTGCTGCTTGGAACACCACAAATGCTCACACAGTGGTAACGTTTATTCCCATGACTATTATGGCTGTTGCCAGCCTTTTCTCCTGGCTACTTGTGAGCTATGAATAAAGCCTGAAGCAAACTGTGGGCTGGCAGCATGAGCATAAACTGTACTGCTGTCACTCTTGTCCCACTGGCTAAGGATCTGAGGATTAAGATCAGAGAGAGTCCAGAGATCAACATATCAGAGCAGGTCTAGGTTTGCCTGGTTTAAAATGATCAAATACATTTAAAAATGTACTTCCCCCCACATGCATATTTGATGATTCATATCTATGCAGTATCCAATGATACTTTAAGAGTAAATTTTAATGAAGACTTCCTTTAGAAGCATTCACATAGATGGTTTGCTTCCCTTGCATTTAACATAAAATGATCAGCAGGAGAGGAGAATGCGAAACACTCACTCATTATATGGTGTCTCCTGGGAGGTGATTAGGGAGACACTCTGTTTAGAATGGGCTGAGCCCACCCACAGATTACCCTGCAGGCCAGTGTTTACCTGCTGCTGGCTCAGAAGCAGGTGTGGGTGACAGCTGGGGGTGCTTGGAGAAAGCAGACACCTGCCCTTTCAAGCAGCATCCGCCTGCTTGCACACGCTCCACCATGGCTCAGTGTCTCCGGCTGTACGCCAGCCATGTCCGAAAGGGACACTCTGGAGCTGCTCTGTTCAGTTTCTCGTAGCCACACACAGCTATTTAAGTGACTGAAGTGGAAAAGTCAGTTCCTCAGCCCCACGGGTCATAGTCCAAGGGCTTGTGGGCACACAAGGCTCCCCCATCCGACAGGACAGGGGTAGAATATTCTGCCACACAGAAAGTTCCTCTGCATTTCAGTGTGGCAGCATGGCCTGGGGAAACCAGGACCAGCAGTCACCCCGCCTGTGTGGCAGATTTTTCACTGGGACCCGACCAGATAGCCAGTACACGTGGATGGCATCACAAAGTTCGTGGCACCAAGAGGAAGGATGCTAGCACAGGGACTTTTTGATGTCCAGAGCTGTCCAAGGGAACCTTCAGCAATGAGGCAAAGGCTCTGTCGTCCACCCTGTGTGGTGCAGTAGCCACTGATCCCAGGTGGCTACCAAGCACGGGCCATGTGGTCAGTGTGCTGAGGAAGTGACCTGTTTAATTCATTAACAGTGATGCCTTGTGGCTTTAACAGTTAACTGCACACCTGCTCCCCAGGGGCTGGAGAAAGCAAAGGGCAGTGTTAGAATAAAGCACAACGGGTTGAAGGCTTTGCAGACAAAATGGCACCCTACCTCTTTGTTTGTGGAGGCTTCAGCAGGGTCACTGGGATGAAGGGGTGTGCTCGACGACTCGGCACCCAGGGGCGACGAACTGCCCGGAGACGGAGACTAGAACACAGCAAGACAGACAGTGTGAGAACCGGAGGGACTTGGCCCGGACAGCACAGGGCTCAGCACTGCTGCCGGGCATTGCAGGGGGCAGAGGAACATTCTGGAAAGGACCCATCAACTGCTTAAAACACTGGAGGTTTTCCAGCTTGATTCCCAATTCCAGCCATGTTCCCCCCTGCCCCGCTTAGGTCAACTGCTCAAAGAAAATACAGACAAGTTCAATATCACTTCTAGTATGAAAGAAATAGCGCTAAGAGCATGACGCAAGCCTATCTCTGGACTTTTTTTTCTTGCTGATAAAATTCACACAGAGTATCAAATGTCTTAACCAAATCAGTTGCCCAAGATGATCAGAACAGGAAAGTCCAAAGCAAAATGCATGGTTTAAAAGAGGTTGCTGGCAGGAAGCCCCATCTCCTGCACCTGCCTAATCCATTCAGATTTCAAGCACGTTGTCCAATTTAATCCACGGGTGACTGGAAGGTCAGGAAAACTTCAGCATTTAAACCATATTACCTTGGATGCTCTTAGAACAGTTCACATCTCCCTTTTCAAGTGCTTGTTAACAGCTGTTAAATCTTAATAAGTGAAACAGAACAAAAAATAATACAGAGGCTTAGGAAAATAGGTTTGGGGACCATGGTCCCTGTCAGGTGTGGTGTCCCCTGCACAGGTAGCCTGCAGGTCAGGGCAGGGAACCCAGCATGTGTTCCATAAATACCTACGGTGGGAATGAGGGGAGGAAGTGAGAGAGCAGGGATGGGGCTGGGGCCCAGGGTGGCTCTGAGACTCTCCCCTGCTGACAGCGGGTCACTGTGTGTGCTCCTGCAGTCCTGGGAGCTCCCAGAGCAGCCACAGGTTAGCCAGAGGGATGCTGCAGAAACCTACTGCAGTGGTCCCCTGAGCGCACAGATGCACTGCCCCACAGTTCATGGTGCCGGGCGGACAGCACTGGGCGACACCCCCAGGGAGGCGTGCTCTGGGCGAGCCCTGGGCAAGGGCAGCAGAGCCTGTGTCTGAGCTCTGAGGACTGGCCATCTGCAGGAAGTGCGGGCTTCAAGTTGCCAATGAGACACCTCTCTGTGTAAAAGGAGGGTGTTGGGCACATGTACAGACGGGGGACCTCAGTGAGCACCCTGTGAGGGAGAAACGGACCCCCCACCATGTTTGCATTATGGGAAGCAGACGGGGCTCCAGATGAACAGAAAGATGCAGTGGGATGCGCCGTTGCTCAGGCTGGGAAGCTATGCTGCTCCAGGCCACGGCCACGAGGCTCGGGTTGGTTTACTGTGAGTCCATCTGTAACCTGAGTCTAGGCAGAGAGGTGAGGAGGGAGGCCCCACGAATCCCTAAGGTTCACAAGTACAAGTCAGTGCAGCGACACCAAGGGGGCAGGCACAGGATGAGAGCTGATGGACAAAAAAAAAAAAAAAAAAAAGCCTCGCATGCCTTCAGAGAGGTGGGGCACGGTAGCGTAGGGGCTAAGCCTCTGCTCTTCTGATCCAGCTCTCTGCTATGGCCTGGAAAGCAGTAGAGGATGGCCCAGTGCTGGGGCCCCTGCACCTATGTGGGAGGCCCAGAAGAAGCTTCTGGCTTCTGGCTTCAGATTGGCCCAGCTCCAGCTGTTGTGGCCATCTGGAGACTGAACCAGTAGATGGACGACTTCTCTATGTCTCACTCTCTCTCTGTAACTCTGCCTTTCAAATAAATAAAATCTTAAAAAGAAAAAAAAAATTTAGGGGATGCTCACTGGGTAGCCAAGATACCTGGTGGCCACTTGCTGATTCAGCACTGTGTTTGGGTGCCTCAAAACCAATTTCTGAGGTGTTTTTCAAATTTGAAGAGCCCCCTTGGATATTTATGGCTGGATTTAGCCCCCCTTCAAGTGATTTTCTCCATGGCAAACATTCTAGGGACCCAGGCCCTGGGGAAGCTAGTACAGCGTTGCATGGCTTGGCCGGAGGGCTATGTAACACTTTCATTACAATGAAACCCTCAAGACTCCCAGGTTACTAACCTCTGTTTTCTGCCCAAATCCTGTAAGAATAGGTACTTTACAATGCTACACGCACCAGAACACCTGGGGATGATGTGAGCAGAAACAGGTGACCTAGACGGCGGACAGGAGGCTGGGCAGAGCTGAGACTCCTCGCCAGGGCTGAATGACCAGAGCTGGCCACTAGTTCTAGAGGATGGGGGGGAGGCACACGTGAGGCTGCACAGGGCACTGCGCTGCCACAGGATCTGGGGGCAACCCCACCAACCTTTCCAGGGGGTTGCTTCCTCTCAGACACCTTCTGCACATGCGCGAGCTCAGCAGAGTCTGCTGCCACGCGCATGGACCACAGGAGACCTCCATCTAGAGTTCTCCCTCGTCCTCGTCTATACCCAAGGCTCAGTTCAAAAGCCCACATCAGCCTGAGCTCAAGCTCTCGTCACCATACAACTGTGTAATTATCTATGCAAATACACATCCTTTCCCCAAGACCTCTTAGGCAGAGGAATCCTGTCTCACTCATCTTTGCTATCCCTGGTCTTGGATCTCACAAACAGCAGACACTCAGCAAAATGTTTACGGAATAATTCCAATGTAGGTCTAGGTTTCTAAAAGGCATGGGAAGCAGACGTATTATAGATCGACCCACTGGTTTCTTGCTTTATTACTTAGAAAGCCTTCCTCAATACAGCATCCTTCCTCTGCTATGCATACAACACTCAATCTGCATTTTTAGAGAAGTGGCCTTTGCTTATGAAAGCGCTCACCTGGGCACCAGCAGTGAAACAGAAATCTGTTCCCCAAGAGAGGACCTGGGTGGTGGAAATCTGTTGACAAAGTTAACAGGCAGAACGGACACAGTGCTAGAAGCCAAAGCAAAGGTGTCTGTATCCAACTTATCCGAAACGTCTGCTTTAAAAGTCCTCTACCTTGATTATACTCTTACAAGTGGAGGCAAAGGCAGAAATTGCATGCAACACACATACCTCAAAAAGTTACTGGAAAAATGGAGTGAAAGGTTAAGTTTATTTTGGTGAAAAATAAATTGGAAGCCACCATACGTTATTTCATGATGTGGTCAGTCATGAACTTTGTGAAGACCCTTTGCATTTTTTATGCTCAAAAAACACATCTGGAGCTGGTGCTACGCTGCAGCGGATAAAGTCACTGCCTGCAGTGCTGGCATCCCATACGGGCACTGGTTCAAGTCCCAGCTGCTCCACTTCTGATCCAGCTCTCTGCTATGGCCTGGGAAAGCAGTAGAAGATGGCCCAAGTCCTTGGGCCCCCACACCCACAAGGGAAGACCCAGAGGAAGCTCCTGGATCCTGACTTCAGATCAGCACAGCTCCGGCCATTTGGGGAGTTAAACAGAGGATAGAAGACATCTCTCTCTCTCTCTCTCTGCCTCTCTTTCTCTCTCTGTGTAACTCTGACTTCCAAGTAAATCTTTAAAAAAAAATCTGAGGCCAAATTTAGCCAATGAAATAGGATAGAGACAGCAAGAATTATCACACATTTCTCTGTCTGGAGTCTCATGCATTCTGGGTTGCTGGATGGAGATTGCTTTAAGAGAAGGAGGACAAGCAGGGGCAGGGAGTGTGGACCCAGGAAGTCACAAAGGTAGGTGTGGGATGAGAACATCTCTCTAGGACACAGTGTTCCAAGATGACTCCACCACAACTCTTCGTTCTTTTTAAGTTCAAGGGCTCTTGAAGCTCAACAGCTTGTCTATTATAGGTTATGTTCTATCTAGAACATTCTCCACGACTATCATCCAAAGTTCACCCCCGATCTGGATTTCCACAAAGCAGAGCTCTTAGCCTCAAAACTCGGGTTCCCCAACACTAATACAAGAGATATAGTGTTATATCTGTCTGACAGCATAGGCATCAGAGTTGGCCCAAGGAAAGCTGATCATTCATTGTATGCTGGCTGGACACCTCCTGTGACACTGCACTGCTGGTGGTAGGGGGTGAGACCAATCTACCCAGTTCTAGCTTGAGGAACTCTCAGATTATGCTTATAGGTAAGAAAAGCAGCATGCAACTAATTAACACACATGTATTCCTTCAACAGACACCTCAGTGCCTACCTGTGCTCCCAACACGGGGCCAGCAAAGAGAGGAAGGAGACATTAGCAAGAGCGAGCTGGTAGGTGCAGGTGGTAAGGGTACTACTGCGTCCAGTGGGGCACATGTCAGCCAGTGCTCCCTGGAGAAGGTGCCACTCTCTCTGAGTCCTCACCACGTGCAGTGTTCATGGAGTCGTGTGGAACAAGGAGGCACAGAGGGGCAGCAGCTTGGCTCTGGCAGGTGCAAACCTGAGGCTAAAGCCCACTGGGGACCAGAGGGCATTACAGTCAGCTCTGCCTAGGGAGTATCTTTTGGTAAATCCTTCAGATATTTTTATTTGTGGAAGCAAAACAAGTGGACTTAATGGAAGCAAAGAGGGAGAATAAAGGTCCTTAGGGCAAGAGGAGGAGGGAGGCTGGACATGGGGCATTGAAATACATCGGCCACGAGGAGTAAAGTCCAGTGTTTAGAGCACAGTAGGGCAACTATAGCATACAACAAAGCATTATGTGTTTTATGAAGAACAAGACAGGAGTTCAAAGGTTTCCAACACAAAGAAATGATCAATTTGTAAAGAGGTGGGATGTTACCACCCTGGCCTGATCACTACTCTCTGTGTGCATACAGTGCATCATGCCACTGTTCCCCACGTGTACAATGAAACCACAGAGACACATCTCAGGGCTGGGGGACAGAGCAGTTACCAGGCAGAGACCAGGTCCAGTCCCGAACTAGCCAGTGCTGGACGCCACAGGTGCCTTTCTGTGGGTGACAATGACACAGACACCCGATGGGGGATGAGCCAGGGGTCATCCCAAAAGTGGGAAGAGACCATGCATGGTGGCACTCATAGGTGAGGATGTAGCTAAGTGCCCAGAGGGCACAGGGCAGAAGCTGGGGAAGAGGGAGATGCTTGTGCCCAGGCAG